ACAAAGATAAAAATAATAAAGTTAAGAATGTCTACAAATTGATGCTATAAAAGAAAATTATTTTTATACCATTTTTGTACCATAATTTTTTATCATTTGAATGTGATATTTTACAACCCAATATTTTACAACCCATTGCGACCAAAAGAGTCAAAATGTTCCATAACGAAGCGAAAACCTAATCGCTGCTATCCGATTAACGATGAGAAATGGTACTCTCGAGAGCGTATTTCGGTCTCTCAAATTCGATACCTCAAATGAAATTTAAAGCCCGGCTCCGCGACAATCGATCCCATTCAAATTTAAGTTTTACCTTAAATTTAATCACTCGCAGACTGACTTATTAGTTTCGTTTGACGTAAGGTGACCATGGAGCTGAAACAAAATTTGTTCAACTGCTCCATTGAGTGTAATGAATAATTGATTTCGAGCTTAAGTTGGAGCGAATGAATCGGAAATTTTCCTTCGCGACCGGTATATTCACATTCGCTGTTTCCTAGAATATCTGATCAGTCAAAATGTGATATGAGGGATAAAAATATTCTTTTAGGAAAGCTTATCGCTTATACTTGGCTATGCCAAATAATAAATTTAAGCTCGTTCGCTTAAATCGCGATTTTTCTGGAAATATATATTTTTGCAGATTCATAAATTATTTATAGATGAATCAGTAATATAATACACGTGTCGTACGTTATTTAATATGTAATTCTCAAATTTCCTCAGGTTTTTTTTTGGAATTCTCTTGTAATCTCTTGTAATATGCGTTGTCTATTTCTTACTTCCAATATTTTAATTATAAATAACATTTTGTTGACTAATTTTAAAATGGAATGGACAGAAATCGCATATATGATTATGCATTAAATTCAAGAAGTGTAATAATGATCGCAGTAGAAACAGTAACGACACGTCCGGCACAAAAAAATGTCTGACCGCAACCGGTCTGTCTCTACTTAAATTACATATCCAGTCTGTTCTATCTTTGTCTATCTTTATATTTTATATAAACGTAATGTAAGATACATAATAAATGCATCCAGCAATAAATACATTTTCTTGTCACAAAAGTATATCTAAAGAAAGATTGAATTCCGTTGGATTGAGTGTATCTATTATATTATCCTTCCTTGCTTTATCAATTAACTCATCCTGAACGATAAATTATTTTCTCTCTCTTTACATCGAGACTTTGTCTCCCTTTTCCTTCAAAGAGCTGGGAATTGTTCCAGAATAATAATAAATTGATCTGCTCCTCCTTCTCTTTCATTTTACTTTTCTCTTTCTATTCTATTCTCTTCCTAGATACAACACCTGTTCACCCATAAACGCAAATTACGCTTTCCGCGTGCCGGACGAGAGTGTCAGTCACAAAATGAGCCTGTCGGTCTTCCCGCGAGATCCAGCGTGAACGACGTTAAATTTACATTGGCGTCGCGAGGCCGAGAAATCGGCCGGCTGTCGCGCTGGACTGGGACCGAAGGTGCTTAAATTTAAGTTCCACTCGAATTTCGGAGTGATATGGCCACGCCGAATCGAATCCGTGTGCAACGCGACGTATATATTTAAAACCCATTAAACAATTTCGGACAGATACGTTGCAACTGGTTCTAAGAGGTCCCGACAATCACGCGGTAATCGACTGCAATTCCATTTGTCATTTTGTTCCCTTTTCTTCATTGCTTGTTTTACTTGCAATTAGAGTATGTATATATGCATCGCAATAAATAAAAATAAAAGTAATATCAGAGATTAATAGTTGAAATATATTTTTAAAGCTCACAAATTATAAAAAAGAATAAACTTAAAATTTTATTATATTCAATAAATTTTTTTGCAAGATATTATATTTAATTATCTCGTTGTAATACATGATTTCTGTTTTATATTATTGGGCATGAGAAGCTCGAGCTTATCGATTAGTATTAGTCGAAAAGATCTCATGCTATGATTGTTTAATCGTTAATTCTTATCTTTTTTTTTAATCTCGTTATTTGACTCTATCAAACTCTTATCCTTGAAACTTAAAATTAAATTTGAAAAATAATCTTTTGTCATTTCACATAATCACTCCATTTTTCCGATATATTTTTAGAAAATATATTTACCTTTATTTATTACGCTCCGTTTTTATTTTTCTTGTAAAAAAACATGGTTATCGATTAATTGTAGTTAAAACATTAAAAGACAAATTTGATTAATTGATATAAATCAAATACATAATTTGACATTTATCTGATGATTAATATCTTCGTATTACGAAGAGAGAGAGAGAGAGAGAGAGAGAGAGAGAGAGAGAGAGAGAGATTATTGATAATTTCAAATAAAGTATATTTTTCATGATTAAATTTATCAATGTATTTTGGACTTTAGAGCGCAATATATTTAATAATATTCAGCAAAATAAAATATAATTGATTTGGTGAATTTCTCATGATTGGTGGATGTAGATTTTTTCTCGCATTCTCGATATGACGTGTGCCAATTCTGTCGTTATGTAGCAATACAAATTCGTTGTGGAATTCTCAGTGCATATCGACAATCGCGGTTAAAACAATAGCGGAACGTTACTCATTCAGTTGAGTCAAAGAATCGTTACCGAATGACTCTACTGAAGTTTCTCATGATCACATTACTGTCAACGTATTTGCCTATTGTCTCTTTGTCGTATGTAATATCAAAAATAAAAATGATTTATTGGTAATATAATTTTTTTTCAGCTGTTCTATTTTTTAATTTTTTTTCAGCTGCATATATATAGATAATATTAGAAATTATAATAATATTAGAAATTAATATTAAAAATTATATTTTGCAAATAATGAAACAATATTTAAAGATTTATTGTAACATTGTAAATAATTTTAATATTGTGTTTAAAATTAATTAGCTTAAAAATAGAATTAATTTTTAATACTATATTATACAGTTTTAAAATTTTATTTTAATAAAAAACATTTTTATATCTCCTTATATCAAAATATTTTAAAAATGCTATAATATATTTATAAGAAGATTCACTGTGCTAAAATATTTCTGTTAATATATTTTTATTGAATTTTTCATTTCCTTATATATATTTATTGCATAAAAATATTATGTTAAAATTACGGAAATTTATATATAATTAAAAGTAATTTAAATTTGAAGTTAAATATTGCAGAGTTTACTACACACATTCATGTTGTGTAAATAATGTGTAATATTTTGTACCTAAAAATAAATAAGTAATAAAATTGAGAAAAAGAGAAGTTTTAAATTAATGAAATAGTCATATTTACATTCAACGGAGAATTCCCGTTTATTGAGATATTGCAAGGAAAGATCATCGCACGTGACGTTTAATTAAGTATTGCATTAATGAAGTAACGTAAATGGTCTACGATGTCAAGGTTTTGAAATTGAGTCAGATACGCCTAATTAAAGATATACTAGATAAACTATTCGGAGTCTGGCTTGACGTTCATAATAAAGTCTATTTTAATTAATCGTTTTTATGAAATAATGATTAACCATTCTAATGTAGCGGATCTTTGAAATATCACAAATATATATTTTTATGAAATATATTATGCTTATAATATTTTATAATTTATATAGTTATTGTTAATTAAAAAAATATATTCATTTTTTCGCGAATCCGTTATTTTAATGTATGATAAAAGATAATTAATTTCACAAAAAATGACAAAATATTATTTATAATCAATGTATAATCTATATTGCACGCTATGTTCGTCTAATGTCTTTGAGAATTTCCTCCTTCTCCTTTCTTGATTCTCCGTTGATTATTTTGTTAGTTGATGTTAGTTGACTATTAATCAACTAGTTGGTCCTTGTTTCTAGTAATTTCTATTTCCTGATAGCAATTACGAATAATTCTCTCACGAAACACAGTTAATTATTACGATTGCATGTATTGTACTATCAAAATATACGCTTAAATTCATAATATCAAATTATACCCAATTTGAGTTATTTTTAATCACTTTTATAGGTCGCCACTGTTCAATATGTTGTTATTTTCGTTAAAACAATAAAGAAAATTCCACACAAG